TAAATTCCTGCGATTGTCAGCATTGTTGTATACTGTTGTGAAGCCCCGCATAGGTAGGTAATACTGCAATCTTCAAACTGGGAAGAAAGTGGAAACTCACGGACATGTGCCAACTCAACACACAAGGAAATCAGAACACGGCGGGCGACACGGCTCCAAAGATTTTCGAGAGTCCAAGTTGTGGAAACAAATGCACGGTGCGTGAAATACTTTGTCTTCTTTCGTTTCGCTCGGATGTGGCCGGGTGTCCACTGCATACAGGGTGCCATAATCAGCGATTATTATTCGTACCATGACCATGCAAGCACATAAACAGTGCATGTGCTCATGTAAGTTTAGCTGTGGAATATATACATGTGCACGTGTACTCGAGTGTATGCATTTTATATGTTCATAGGCCCTCATGGCCTTTTACAAGCAATTGCAACCACACACACATGTATAAATACATATATATATATACATACGTACGTACATATATGCACATGCATAGGTGCTTCGTATAATGCTAAAACGCCAAAGACGCCCAAAAACATAAAATGCAAAACCCAGGCCCCATGACAGCCCGCTCTCTTAATATATGGGTAGTTGTGAAAGTTAAGGTCCCTTTTTGGGCATCTTACATATTAGGTGCCGTATTATAGTAAAGACCCAGAAAGGGACCGTGATTTTGACAACCACCCATATGAGTGCTTGGGATCTTAGGATTAGTTCAGGGGTTGGGAGTCTGTTTGGGGTCCCGGGGCCTTGAGGTCTGGATGAGGGTTTAGGATGGGCCAAAGGGTTTAGAGTTTGTGTAGGGGTTTAGGTCGGTCTGGCGTCTTAGGGCATCGGGTTTGCAGAGATTAACCCCCAACATAGACTCCAGAATTGGTACGATCCTGCTTCCCGGCCCCTTGACTCAAAGACAAGATTCAAGATACCCCTACGCCGTACTGCCGAGTTGTGAACTAGGGCTCAGGGAAGGTATGCGGTCTGGTTTGGTTAAAGAAGCCCCCGCTTGACTTAACCGAGGTGGACCCAGCTCGGTGGCCAAGGGTGGCGGCACCTCCTTCGACCAATCCTGGAAGCGTCCCGTCTAAGACTGCCTGGGATTTGTAGCGCAGTTTAGGTTGTAGCGCCTCATAGGTTTTAGGAAATCAGGGCCTTACAGCCCTAGGTTTCAGTAAGGGCTTTTGGGTGAGTATCTCGGGGTCTTAAAAGTGACGCATAAATTTTCAACTCCCTCTGATGAGCTGCGAAAGCGCAGAGCTCCGACTTTGTCCTTTGCACTTCTCGTGCATGAGATGTTTGGACCTTCCCAGAGGAAACAGGCTCTGGATTAGGGCTGCAGGTCGTGCTGGACATCCTACTCTACCAATATTAGGGTTTAGGGTTTAGGGTTATCCTACTCTACCAATAGAGCCGATGATGGGAGGGTGCCGGATATCTCATGCACTCGGAAGTTTTTCCAAGCCTGGAGCCCCCTGGTTGCTGTGCAAATGGGCAGCGATACAGTCGATCTCGCTGCCCGATCGCACTTTTACCGAGTAGAGGACCAAAGCCGCCTTCAACCTTGCTTCAGTCCTAATCGATTCCTTATGCCAAGCCTTTAGGGTCTAGGGTTTACAACCGGAATCGCTCAATGCTTAGATGGCTTAGCGTTTTGACGCAGATACTGGTTCTCGAAGCAAGCAACCGGCCCGAGCCACCACAAGGCGTGGCTGGGTACCATGAAGAACACCCCCAATCATCAACACTACCTATGCTCTCTGGTAGTTGGGTGTTGCGTGGCCAGTCTTAGGCTTAGGGCTTAGGGTTAGGCTAAAAACTATGTAGAACCAGGCCGCCAACAAAAATCTACTACATCGGAGAGCATGGGTACCTATCCATGTGGACACGTCTCGTGAGTGCATCATGCACTTGTGTTCGGAGCTGGCTTAGATTGAGAGAGAACAATGAAGTTAGGAGACATGCTTACATGTGCGACCCTTCAGGGGGCGACAAATGTCAGGAGCAGACATCCGAATCTGCTTTCTGTGCCCGTGCTATTGAGCTGACCACCCAGGCCAGCTGCCACGAAGTCGTGCTAGAATCAGACAAAAAGCACACGGCATCGCGTGCAGAGCCTTGCGATGAACCTCGTCAAAGTCATCATCATCATCATCATCATCATCACCATCACCATCATCATCACCATCATCATCATCATCAACACATGTTTGTAAATATCGTCACTTCACAGTGGTTCGATTTGCCCAGGTATGGGGGTCACCTCCTCGAGTAATTAGACCGACCCTGCGAGTTCACTCCTACAAACAGTAATTACCTGAACCCTGAACCCCACACCAAACCCTAGATCACAAACCAGAACCGCCTACCCACAGCCCATCACCGTCCCCTGGAGGCCCAAGATCCTGGGATGACAGTGCGGCGACCGAGAGCAAAGTACGCACCAAAAAACAGAGCAAGTTTGAAGGTGTTAGGGCGGGTAAGGATGCCTATAACGCTGAAAACAACCAGTGATACTGAGAACAAGTCGACAAGCAACGATACTCACTTTCGAATGCCAAAAATGGATAGTGAGACCAAACTTGAAGTCTGGGGCGAGTACGGATGCTCCGGACACTGATGCTCACCGTCGTGAAAGAGGACAAGTCTGAAGATTGCGGCAGCAAAGGATACTCCGGATACTCCTGATACTGATGCTAGCCACAGAGAATAACAACAGCAACAATCATCATCACCGATTGAAAGCAAGGACAGAATATCAGAAAGTAAGTCATGCTCCAACAAGGCGTGTGAAATACTGAAAACACCCTAAACCCTAAACCCTAAACCCTAAACCCTAAACTCTAAACCGTGCAGTTCTTGGGGTTTCGCGCTGGGCGCGCGAGGGAGGCAGGTCTGTTACGTGTTTTCGGGACCTAGAGTCTACCTATAGTCTCCATTGTAGTTCCTTTTTGGGGGTTAGTTTTTAGGATCCTTAATATAGAACTGGTTAAACCACAAAATAAATGGAGACTATAGGTGCGAAGCTTTTTGGGATTGATGCGGGTATCTAGCGTTTGGCGCATTGTGGCTTCGGGATTAGAGTTATTTGCTTGCTTGAGGCGACACGGAGCTCCCGATAGGACAGCTCAGATCTTCGGTAGGCAGTCCAACCTCAGTCGTAGCGACGCTACACTCCCGTCCCTTCTTGCATTGAGTTAACATAACATGACAAAAGTAGGCTGAAGTAAAGTGCTTGCTGCAGCTCCCTGTTTAGTTATGACATTTGGCGCTCTTGCTGTGCACTCCTCTTGCGATTCGTTTTCAGCGAGAAAAACCTGCGATACCGAGTTCCGGGTTTAAGGTTGGGTAGAAAGGCTGACATAAGTGATGAATCTTAAGCCGGTCTGGCTTATTTCTGAGAGGGGGCTAGAGATATGGTACTGGCACAAAGTTTCCCAGTTTCCGGGCTTTCCGCTGCTTCCCGCATCCCATGGTTTAGTAGAGCAAGGTTCGCAGTCCACACCGAAGAGGAAACCTCGAAAGGTTCTCGAGCATTTTTAGTCGCGGCAAGCCTCGACCCCGGGAACAAGTCGTGATTCCGCGGCTTCCCTCCTGCTGCTATGCAGTTGTCTGTGAGAGGTGGAAGCATTCATGTCATTTGAGCCACTCAAGCATGGGGTCCCCAGCTGGAACCGAAACCTGGAGAGCTGTATCTTCGACATGGCATGTTTGCAATCAGTGTTAAAGGCTTGACGTAGCAAAACAGGCCCACTCAACCGCACAAACCAGTCGTGAGCATGCACCCTTAAAGCTGTAAAACCTTTTCCTTTTGGTCGTCGCAATGGGCCGAGGGCGACCGAGGCCTAGTGGGCGCTGGTGGCTGCTTCTGACTGTGGCCCTGTTCCACCGGGAGGTGGATCTGTGGAGCTTAAGCTAATAGGGCTACTGATACTACTACACTACCGCGGCACTACGCTGAAGTTGCCGGCCGGTACTACCGCTGCGGGTACTACTGCAACAGTTTCTAACCAGGACAGATTACCACGACGCTGCCGTCATAAGTTAACACTACAGGCCTACAGATTCAGTCGCAAACCCGAAGCCGTGGTGAGGCTGGAGATTGATTTGATTGCTTCCGGCCCTAGCCAAGCCGCCAAAGCCTGAACACCGACAGCCTGCAGCGAGGGATACTTGTTTCACCTCTAAGCGACCAAGGCCGAAAACTCCTGAGCCGAAGCCCTCATATTTGGGTGGTTGTCAAAATTATGGTCCCATTTTGGGTAATTACCCTAAATATTAGGTGCCGTACTATATTAGGGACCCAAAAAGGGACCATAATTTTGACAACCGCCCATTTCTGTCCTGCTTTGGGCCATCTTCTGGTCTATGTGGATCCCGTGTTACCTTAGCCTACCAAACCCTACTTTTTTGTAGGTTCTTGATATACACCCTAATACGGAATTTATAGGGACCCTACAAAAAAGTAGGTTTTGGTGGGTTAAGGAGTTAGCAACTACCATTTCCATTTTCTAACCATGCCCACCCCCCTAGGCCACCCAAAGACCCAAACCATAACAACCTATACCTCAACCCTAAACCCACCCAAGACCCATAGGTAGAACCCTAGGAATAACTCACCCAAAGACCCAAATCCATAACAACCTATGCCTCAACCCTAACCCCACCAAAACAACCCAACCTAAGACCCCATCCCATGGAACCACCAGAAGAACCATACACCACCACATAGAGAAAAATACAACCTAAGACCCATACCATGGAACCACCAGAAGAACCATACACCACCACATAGAGAAAATCCCCAATCTCACACACGTACATGAAATACCCCATAGAAAACCATAACACCCACCCCAGAAGTCCCCTAACCCTAGAAAATGGAAATGGTCAAGGCTACGCCTTAATGGAGAGCTCAAGCTCTCTATCATCTCAAATAAAATATCTATACTCAGGAATAAGGTCTAGGAATAAGGTCAAACCGACTAGAACGATACTTGCAGCATAGCATGGTCCAAATACCCTCACTGGAGCATTTCTTCCTGCATCCATTTCTCATTGGCCATGAAAGCTGGCCTGGCATTTGCCTTGTTCTTTTGGGCACAGAGGGCTTTTCTTGCGGTCCGTCCTGGCTCCTGGTGCGTTCGCACACAGGGTCAGTCACGTTTCGCCCGGCCAAGCAAAATGAACAGACGGACTCGGACTTGCGCATTCTCATCACGTTCCGGAGATGCCCGAATGTCCAACAGTTGTGTAGTGAGGAAGACTGTATTCAGCGGACAAGTGCAGCGTGGAGTCTCAGCCGGTCTGCATGGTCATGGGCAGTGTGACGTCCCAGCAGTGTTCGGACCAGTTTTGGCAATCGAAGCGAGCGATTTTCAGACTTGTGCAGCGCGTGCGGATGGTCAGCTCGTCTGCTTTGGATGCAATGAGTATGGACAGTGTGACGTCCCAGCAGATTTGGGACCAGTTTTGGCAGTCGCTGCGGGCAGGCATCATACTTGTGCAGTGCGAACGGATGGTCAGCTCGTCTGCTTTGGACGAAATAATTATGGGCAGTGTGACGTCCCAGCAGATTTGGGACCAGTTTTGGCAGTCGCTGCGGGCAGTCATCATACTTGTGCAGTGCGAACGGGTGGTCAGCTCGTCTGCTTTGGACGCAATGATTGTGGGCAGTGTGACGTCCCAGCAGATTTGGGACCAGTTGTTCGTGCTTCCGCAGACTTTGTTCATACATGCGCAGTGCGGGCAGATGGTCAGCTCGTCTGCTTTGGACGCGATGAAGACGGGCGGGTCCCACCAGAGTGTGACGTCCCAGCAGATTTGGGACCAGTTTTGGCAGCGGGCAAGTTTCATACTTGTGCAGTGCGAACAGATGGTCAGCTCGTCTGCTTTGGAGAAAATATGTCTTTCGAGTGTCGCGTCCCAGCAGATTTGGGACCAGTTTTGGCAGTCGCTGCGGGCAGTGACCATACTTGTGCAACGCGAGCAGATGGTCAGCTCGTCTGCTTTGGGGACAATCAAGTTAAGCAATGTGACGTCCCAGCAGATTTGGGACCAGTTTTGGCAATCGCCGCGGGCAAACTTCATACTTGTGCAGTGCGTGCGGATGGTCGGCTCGTCTGCTTTGGAAGAAATAGTTGGGGGCAGTGTGACGTCCCAGCATATCTGGCACCAGTTTAGTGTGTCATACTTGTGCTGCGCCGAAAGAAACAGATAGTCAGCTTGTCTGCTTTGGAGACAACTCTTATGGGAGGAGTCATGTGCCCAACCGGTGACTGTGAGTGAAGTAGAGACTGCTTACCCTCAAACCTTCAGTAGTTCAAATCTCAGATACTGCCGATCATTACCTTCAACTCTGTAATAATTTTGCCCTAACTTGTTTTCAATATTTTCTATGGTATAGATATTCTGTGACCAGTTGCTCACTCTTTCTTTTTCATTTGGTTTTCGCTTCCTAAATATCTTAACCTCGTCCCCTACATCTAGTTCGAGATAAACGCGGTTCTTCTTGCCCTTCATCGTTAAATTTAGTTTCACTTTGAGTTGATTACTGGGTTTTCGGGCTTCCTTTGGTGTAAATCCCGTGGCCGAATGCTTCATTTGATTATTATAGGTTAATCATATTTCTAATATGTAGTCTGGCCATTGGATGTTTTGTTTTCCTTTTTTCTCATCTGCTTCAACTCTCCTATACAACATATCTTTAAAAGTTCTGATGGCTCTTTCGCTAAAATTTGGGTGCGCCCTCGTTCTATGATGTTCTATGTTCTCATCCTTCAAATACTTTTGTATTGCCTCCTTGTTCAATGCGCCTGCATCGTCCGTATAAATTATTTGCGGTTTCTTACCCATCTTGTTTAAACATTCAATCATCCCACTCGCTACATCTCCTTCTTGTTTGCTTTTTATCGGCACTACATACATGAATTTATCAAAAACATCAATCATCAAACCACCTACCCTAAACTTTTGTTCATCCAAATCGTTTATAAAAAACAAATCCATCTGATACTCATATGCGGAATGCGGGGCGATAAAACTGTTTTGGCCTACCGGCTTTCTCTTCGGTTCAACATTCTTTCTAAAAAACTCGTTAATATCTCCCATTGTTATGGTTTTGTCCTTCTCCCGTGCTTCGCTTAATGTCCTTTGCTTTGAACCATAACCGGCTCTATCAAAATATACATCATTAATAATTTTCTGTTTCTCACTCATATAAATAAGTAACAAAAAATAATGATGTAATATAAATAATTAAATCATCATTTTTAAGGATTAGGTATAATCACTTTGTATTCGTTCATATCGTATTTGGGTGCTCCGCGCTTCTTCGTGCTAGGCTTCTTATCTGTAATGATTTCGTTAATTTGTGTGGGCGTCAAATCTTCTTCACTTAAACTATTCTCTGCTATATATTCCTTAAGCTTCTTCTTCTGGTTGTGTCTTAAACTTGCTTCGCGCTTCTTCAACATAAATTGCTCGTCTTCTTTCCTCTTATTGTAGTAAAGCCTCTGATACAAAGCCAGTTGTTGCTTAATCTCGTCCATTGTCATATCCTCGGGACTTTTGAAATGTGTCATATTACTATACTATATATTTATACTATTTCTTTAAATAAGTTTCTAAACATAACACGAAAATCTTCAGAAAAAGCATTTAAAAAGAAGATTTAATTTATATTGTAATTATATTGTATATGAGCAAAAATATTAAGCGTAACACGAGAGCACTACAAACAACCTACGACAACTACAAGAATCGTCTCACGCAAGGCACCAGAACCAAAATACAAAATCTAATTAACTTTTATGAAGACCGTAAAATAGCGCAATTCACCACCGCGGACAATTTAATCAGACAGTTTATAACAGCAAAAACCGACACACAAAAAACGAAAGCAAACACAGCATACTACAAAATCCACGACAAACACCACGACAAAGAACCACTAGGACGACGAATGCTGGAAGCAAAGAAGGAAAACAAAAGACGAAACACCACCAGTATCTACTCTATAGATGTAATGTTTTATAAGCTTAAGTTAGAAAAAGATGATGCCATTAAAACCGCCTTCAAGGACTCAAAAGGCCGGCCCTATTTCTGGAGAGAACCCAAAACAGCAAATGTAAAAGCAACAAAATACATAGAGGACTTGGTGGGAAAGCGTGTTTTTCGGTATGAGAAGGAAACTAAAGCTACATTCAGTAAGTTAATGGATACACTCAACACAGACCCAGTTTTAGAAGACGATTTGTTTCACACAGAGCAGTATATGGAATGTATCCAAATTAAGAGCCTTGAGCGGGTAGATGGCGATACAGATTTTAAGCCAGAAGCAGAGAAATTAACAAATACCGCTAATTTAAGTATGTATAACATCTACATTCAAACGCCTTTAGACCCCGAGTTTGAAACCTTTAAGGAAGCGATAAATGTAAAGCATTACAAAGAGAACGAGTGCTGGTTTAACACCATAACCGATTGGTATAAGGATACGCTAATGGGTGAAAAAAGAAGGGAGAAGAACAGATTAACAAAAGAAAGTATGTTGAAACTGATAAATAAGACAGAAGAGGATTTCAAAACGAACGGGGCATCAATACAGGATATGGTGCCGGTGTTTGAACACTACGGTATTCAAGCAAGGATATTTAACTCCTTCATAAAGCCGATTTTCAAATACTCGCCTACAAAATACAACCACCATATCCCAACATTATATGCCCTAGTTAAGAATAACCACATCTACACGGCAAACGACAACCTACAGATGTTAAGGCAGATGGTGGCGCTCCGCGAAAATCAAGATGTATCGGTTAAGGCTTCCCCAGATTATCATATTAACGAAAATGACGAACCCACTGAATGTAAAATGATACAGTCCTTAAATGACCTTAAGAAATTCAGAGAGAAAGACAATTATACATTAATATACGATGGTAATGATTTAACCCGTTTGTTTTATGAAAGCAAGATGGCGGGCTATGAGCCACAAGTGAGATTTACTGGTTGTATCGTTTCCGATTTATATTTTAAATTCTACATTAAAAAGAAGAGCATAAGATACAGGATTAAAACCCAAAATCTAGTGACAAGCTCCGTTGATGGAACTATAACAGTAAGAACGGAACAGATTTATAACAAAATGTCTAAAGCAATGTATGAATTCAACAAGGCATTATTTAATCCCTTACATAAATCCTATTATAACGAAACTGATATTCAAATTCTTAAGGAATGCCGAACAATCCCGCCGGTGGGAGAACTAAAAAAATTCTACAAGGTGTTTAACCAACGAACCGAGAAACACGACAAATACGGGTTTATGTCTGAAACAACCACCGAAATAGATGTAAGAAAAGCTTACACCCACGCCTTCAACCAAATTACCGAAATCCCCGTCTTTAACCAGTTTGATATATGGAAGCATTTTAATTACAAAGCCCACGATTACAGCAAGTTTCACGAACTGACTTTGTTTTTAGTGAAGCCAAAGGAACAAGCATTGTTTTTAATAAGACCCATTGTTTAGTGTATGGTAAGTTTCTAAAGCACTACGCCGACAAATGCGAAATCTTATATTACAAAGAACCTTCTAGAGTGTATAAGGTGAATTACACGAAACTTATTAAACAACTATGGGCAACCGAGATATCAGACCATTATCCAGAAGATGCTAAAATCAAAAAGCTTATAGCAAATGTAAATTTCGGATTGTTAGAGAAGGGAACGAACAAAAAATCTGAAAGCTTTGCCTTTGACAGCTTAAGGGAGGCATTATACTACCAGCAAGAAGTGGGAGGCAAGATTAATAAAATCACCGGATACGACGAAGACGACAAGGAATTGGACAGAAAATATTACTGCTTAACGGTGACCGACCGAGTGGCATTAAGAAACGGATACACTTACATAAAAGAGCTACTGCTTCAAATCCATAATCATAAAATACAAGAGGATTATAACAAATTAAGAAATGACGGCGTTGATGTATGGAGTGTTAAAACAGATGCCTTAGTAATTAGGCATGAGCACTTAAGCAAGGCAAAGAAAGCAACAGCATTTAACAATAATATCGGAGGATGGAGACACGAAAAAGGTAAAGTAATAATCCCACCGTCAGAGCAACGCAAAATGAAAGAAAACATATTAACAACTATACCGCAATATACCAACGAAACACTAGAAATTAAAGACGAGTGGGACACCGAAAGCATAGCGAAACAAATAACACAACATAGCTCACTGGTTATAAGAAGTAAATACGCGGGTGGTGGCAAATCGCATATAGCAAAGCATTTCAGCAAGTTAGGTTATAAAACATTGT